GGATCGTTAGTCATTACTCCAATTCGTCTTCACTATCGTGAAGCACTTGGAATAACTGTTCGGCCACCTCAGCATGCTCATCCCATGTTGTCACTAGATCTGCCTGAAGCTTCTCACTGAGAAGCTTGTAAGTGTCATTCTTCTCAGTAAGGTCCCGAATCTCAGCCTCGCTCTCCTTCCGAATTCGAAGGAAGGCCTCGTGATGCAACACCGAAGCCTACAAGCAAGGAAGGAGGTGTTAGAATTACCTACAATCACAAGTTTAAAAGAGATAATGGAACGATCATCGAAGTTGCCCGATTCAGAGCATCTTGGGCCTTATTGAACAGGCAAGCGGCCCCTACCGCATTCATCATAGCTCGGTCCTCCTCGGTCACCAAGCATCTGAGATAGCTGGAAATCCCCACGGGGGGAGAGAAGACGCGTGCATCCTCCAGTACAGAAAATACTATATTCCGCCTACGGTCAGGATTAATACTTGGGGCCAGAAATCAGTCCACTAGTTTTGGTTTCGATACAGATCCAGTAGCGCCCGATGACGGTGTTTTCTTCGGCGCCGGTAAGTCACCAAACCCAGTGACATCTCTCAAAGCACCAAACTCGACTCCATCCAAGAAGCTGTGGATATCGACCGCCTCTTGAGGGCCCCCGCAAGGGTGACCTTCCAACATATTGGCCTCACGAAGCATGGCATCCAAAATCTGAGGGGATCCGGAAATATCAATCACATCGAGCTCATCCCTCAGAACATCCTCTGCCACTTGGGAAGCCTCACCCCTGGTTTCTCCCTCGACCATCTCAGCTAGGGACGGAGTGGCCTCAACTTTTTCTGGATTGGGAACTTTGGACAAAGCTCCCTCATCAACCCCCTCCGGTTCGGAGGATTTTTGTATCGAAACACCAGCCCGTACGTGGCTGCCAGATTTGGTTCTTCTTCTTCATCATCATCTTCACGCTCGTCTCTTAGCTGACAAACTGAGTCCAAAGATAGAGCGATGGTTCTCCCCTTGGGTTTACGGGCTGGCTTTTGCTTTTTCGAGTTCGGGGAACTCGGAGCCCCTTTTCTCTTTTTCTCTTTGGTCTGCTTCGAAGTAGGTATTTGGGAGCGGATTTCTTCTCAGTTGGGGGCCTCATTTCCACATCCTTTCCAAGTCCTACAAAGGGAAAAAGACGAGTAAGCTCGATAAAGTGGCCCTAATAATAATTGTTCAAAGAAAGAAGCCTACCATGATTGCGGGCCTCCCATTGACCCTTTGACAGTTCCATACAAGCACGCTCGAAGTAAGGTCTCTGTGATACTAGGCTCTCGACCCATTCTTTGAGATCGGGGATTACCTCCCGCGCCTAGGCTACAGTTGCAACAAAATAAAATACAAATAAGAAAAGAAGATAAGAGGTAAAACAAAAAAATTAGAGAGACAAAATACTACTCACGGTTCATGTTCCATTTCTCCGGAAATGGCACGTCTTCGGCAGGGATCAGGTCCGAAGTCTTTATTCGGACAAATCAGCCCATCCAACCTCGATTGCAAGACTTATCTATGCTCGAGAATGGGGCCTTGATGGTCCGGCGAGCGAGCTTGATCAGACCTCCTCGATAAAGTCGGGGACTATAAAGGCACATAAGGTGATCAAGGGTGAAAGGACACCCCTCGATTTTGCTTGTGAAGAAACGAAGAAGAATGACTATTCTCCAGAATGAAGGGTGGATTTGACCAAAGGTGACATCGTACCTCTTGCAAAAAGCGACGATGATGTGGTCTAAGGGACCCAATGTGAAGGGGTAAGTATAAACGCTTAAATGCCCCTCCACGTGAGTAGTGATCGATTCCTCAGGAGAAGGAACTACAACATCCTTGTTCACCCAGTTGCACTCCTCTTTAATCTTTTCGAGGATGTCTTTGGTTATCGTGCATATGTACCTCGAGACCGGTTCACAACAACTAGGTACTGAGGAGCGTTTTCAATCTTAAAATCGGCAACAGTAGGGCACCCTCCCGGAATAAAATCCTTGAGGGGAGGTTCCGTTGTAGTTCCATCGCCGGCGGGCCGTGAAGATGAGGCAGTCCCCTTTTGCGGTATGGTTTGGAAGTTTTTGCCATTATAAAATAGAAGAGAAGGGAATTAGGGTCATTTGCTTGAAATTCAAGAAATTTTGGAGCAAGAGTTGCAGAGCAAAGAAATTTTTTGAAGAGAAGCAGCAATGAAGGAAATTTTGAGCACAAAAGTTTAAGGGTAAGAAGGTGGCCGGCACTTATAAACTTGCTGGTGGCGGTTCAGATTCGATGGTGGCCGACCAGCAACTGACAGGCATTTAATGCCTTGGTAACCGAACCGGCGGGACGTTTCAGTACCCACTTGTCGCTGATATCATAATCAGGTTCATCGCTTACGTCACGGCACAACGAGACGGGGTTGGAAAAATTCATGTCGTTTCTTGTCGTCTTCTCTCCGAGAAACGAGGGGACTATCTATATATGGTCAAATTCGGGCTCGCCCTTTTCGTGCGACTGATCGAGACTGGAGCATGATAAGCTAAGGATCAGTTTCGTTTTGTATCAAACTATGGTCCAAAGTTAGGTTGCCGAGCTCGAGACCTTGAGACCGATTAAGATCGAGACCGACCAAAAACGAGACCGATTAAGATCGAGACCGACCAAAAACGAGACCGACCAAGATTGAGATCGGCTAAGATCGAGACCAAATAAGAAGGAGATCGAGGGAAGCTTACTGGGTCGAATAATGGAAAGACGAAATATCTGCAATCGAGCGAGGAACACGGCGGCACGTATAAAGAAGAGACCGATTAATTAGCCAATCATGGGATTTCTTACTGTATTTAGAATTGTACCAAGAGTAAGACTCTCCTACTATATAAAGGGGGTCTGATCATTTGTAAACATTATCATATTTACGCAATACAAAGCAATATACTACCTTTCTCTTAAGCTCTCAATACTCTGTTACTTTGTTCATATTTTCCAGTGAAATACTCGTTTGGTTCGAGGGCGACCTAGCTCGAGGGCCAAAGCTATACATTTCCTTTGGTTTGCATTTATTTCTATTTGCAGTTAATTTCAATATCAATTTTCGTATCTTCTTATTTTGTGCCAAGTTATATCATGTATCCTTAAAACCACGTATAAATTCAATTGTTATCCGTTTTTAGGGTAAACAGAGCGCAAGAGCAGGCTTTGCTTTGTTAGAACTCAATGTTGGGATCGAAATAATAAGGCGTCATGCGGAAGCTAATAAAGTAAACTTGGCAACTATAAATCAAATGATAAAAGTAAAAAAAAATAACTAAATATTTTATATATACACACACACATAGACTAAAAAGGCATTATACCTACATCATTCTACTATAAAAGAGAAAAACTTATCGAAAAAAATAATTCTCCCTCCTAAAGTAGAGTCTCTTAAGGACTTTATTGTGAATGCTATTGTGTTATTATGTGAAGGAGGGATCCTCAATTTATAAAGGTCGATAACTTTTTTCTCAAAGAAAGGAATATGTCAAATCTGGAAGAGATTTATATTTTCTTTTAAGGAAAAGTAAAATCAATTATGTTAAATAGTTTATATTTCCTTTAAGTAAGAGGTAAAATTCACATATGGTAAGAAAATCATAGCAAATCCTAATAATTCTTCCATTTGGTCTGAGGTTTCTGGAAGAACAAACTTGATCTTCATCCTTCACATAATCATTATCATTGCTGCTTGTCATGGTTAAAAAAAATACGAGTTAAAAATATGTATGGGTTAAAAATAGGAGTCATGTATGCTAAAAGTAAATACGAGTTAAAAATATTTGAGCCCGGTGTTAAAAGTAAACATGCTTAAGAGTGGAGTAGAGTTACAAGTGGAGTTTATGCGTTAAAAGTAAGTATAGGTTAAAAATTAAATTCCATAAGCATGGATTAAAAATAATTTTTAGTTTTTAAAAATGCAACAAAAAGAATGTTTAAAATATAGTTGAGAATATGTTTCCACATGTAGTACTCCGTCAAATTGGCTGCAGCCTGAACTAAATACACTATGAACATATCTTCAACCTCATTGAACCATTGGATCTGACACCACTTGAGGGATCGGAATAAGAAGATGTCATGCGAAAACTAACAAAACAAATTTTGGCGATGATAAATCAGACGACAAAGAATAAATATACTAAAAGTGGCATAATATTTTAGTATAATTTGTTCGATTTACTTACATGAATCTATTAATATAGAAGAGAAAAAAATTTATCGAGAGAATAACTTCTCTCGTTAAACAAGACTCTCTTAAAGACTATAATGCTATTGTGTTATTGTGTGAAGGAGAGATCCTCAACTTATAGGAGTCCACAATTTTTTTTTCCAAGAAATGAATCTGTCAAATATGAAAGAGATTAATATTTTCCTTTAAGGAAAAGTAAAATCAATTCTGGTAAACAAGCTCAAGCAGGTTCCAAGAGCTTGGTTTGAAAGGTAACAACATCATCTATAAGAGCCAAAATAAGAGTCGAGGAAGGAGCCCTTCCTTCAAGTAACATGTAAAATGTAAATATAATAAGAAAATCATAGTAAATCCTAACACCCGATGACGATGTCGTGCTTTGTTTTGTGACGAGATGTGTGCTGGGATTGCAGTAGCTGGTTAGCACTGCACATATGTGTCGCTTGGCCAAGACAATCCGAACTGCCTGGGCAGGACCATTCTTGACTACCAACATTCCTCATATGCATGTACATTGCCAATATATCAAGGAGTTCAATTCCTAGCAGCGACAACTGCCGATACTTACTGATATCATGAAATTCGACTCAGCTATACAATGGCTACAATTTCAAAACTATGAGCGATTGAAGTTGTTGAACGTAGTGTCTAGACACGGTTTACTTGCTAAATTTGGTAATTTGGACTGGTTTGAATTGTTTGTTATCAAGTGTTAACGAGTCTAAAAATAAGAGGCCAACTTTGCTTGACCCAAATATTAATGGTATATAACTAGATTCATCTAAAGCATAATAGATAAACCTAACAAGAAACAATATATACATTCCTGAGTCCAAGTTAATGATATGGGGCAGAAAACCATATTTCTCCTTCCTTACACATACTATAATTACAATAAAACCTTAAAAAATTTAAAGAAAGGGCCAAAGAAAAAACGAAAGAAAGAAATGTATTCCATTGCGCCCTTGGGATATTGTCATGATGTTAGGCTAAAAGAATCAGCTATTCTGTAAAAATCAGTTTTCACCTTAGGCCAGATCGACTCTGGAGCCTGGGAATTCAAAGTGAATAACTTTCCTCCCTTGACACAGCATACAGCAACATTGTGTCTCCTGAATGCAGGGCTCTCAACTTGGAATTCCAATGTGTAGTATTTCAGATTCCTCGACGAAGAATCTTCTCTCACATTTGCTTGAATTAATGTTCCCTTTACATTAGGGAGTTTGCCTGATCCTGTTATAGTCCGCACTATCGCTTCTCCTACTTCCTTTGGTCCTCCAAATGTGTCTATCCTGCCAAAATTAACCTCACAGGTAATTTACCAGATTGTATGGTATTTACCAGTTTAAGCTACGATTAGGGAGCTTACGAGAAATCAATAGAAACTGGTGAGACAATGACGCTAACATTGAGCTCCCCATTTGACCCCGGTGGACCAAACGCGACAACCGGCTCATTTACATTCTTCCTCCTCCGATCATCATTGCTCAGAGGTGGTGGATCCAGTGATCTTTCTAATTTTCTCGCTGCTCGATACAATACTGTCTGATCTCCCACCCAATTTGATGGATATATAAACTCTATTGGTAAACGTACAAAAACAATTTCTTTCACTTGAAAAGATTAAAAGAAAAGGAACATAACAAATTGGAGTAGTCATTTTGTTTCCCAATGACATAATTTTATTAGCATTATCTTCGGCATTATAATCCACAAGTTATTATAGTTACTTTCAGTGTATTCCATATTTATAATCTGTGTGTCAAAAGTTCTTAGTACAGTAATTCTTTTTAAAACTTTGTACTCGATAAAATATCATATACGTAGAAAATGATACAGTGGGGCACAGTGAAACACGTACTAACCAAATCCTTCCATCGCATCAAGGCATCGGCTATAACCTCCAATAGGATAAATTACATCAAGCCTAAGTCTCCGAGCACTATCCGGCGACAGGCCTAGTAGGGAACTGGTGACTCCAGCAAAATCGGCGCCCAATGCAACCAGAGATGCTGTGCCAATCCCCACAAGTAGCCGCCGCCTGAAAACTGATTCCAGTGGTGCAAATTGGTTAGACAGGCGTATTGTTACCTCCTGGATTCTGTCTTTCTGATTATCGGATGGCTGTGTCATATATACTCGGTTAAGGCACGTAGTTGTTTGCGGATGAAGATAAGGATGCATTGCCATTATTTGATTCTTTAGCTTCTTAGTTCATTGTGGAATTACTGAGGCAGTAGTAGGAGTAGTTATTGTCCTGTAAGTTTCTGTTTCATTGTTTATGGGGCAGGAGGAAGTTGTGTAGCCAAAAAATAAAGAAGTGAGAAAGGAAGAAAGAAGATGAAGGTTTGCGTCATCGAAGATAGCCTATCCAGTGACCCAAATCTTGTGGTTCTTATTCATTGTTGGCATGCGACACGCTTTGCATTTCTCCCGAGCAACGGTGGCAAAATGATTAAAAGAAAACAGTTCACCACCCATATTATCCACTAAAAAAATGGGTTGGATAATGAACTTTTTAAAAACGGGTCAAATATGGATAAAGAACCATATTATCCATTTAGAAAATGGGTAACCAATGGATAACTAATAAGTCTACCTTTTATATTTGTAAAGCCTCAAATTAGGAGTTCCTCAAGTTAGGGAGACTAAGAATTCTCCCAAAAGTGATCATATGCAAGAAGTCATGGATAATATGGTTACCCATATTACCATATTATCCGATGGTTAACTCGTTTTTTATCCGTATTAAATATGGGTCGGGTCAGATAATTTATTCGTTTATTCATAGGCTTTCGACCCCAACCATATTCGACCCGCCCGTTTGCCACTACTACTCCCGAGCAATCATAGCAACTGACTTTCAAAGCCCAACAAGAATAAAAATCAAATTCGTACGTTTTGAGAGTTGTTTTAGTGTCTGTATACGGGTGAACCGAGCCCGTTGGACATCTCGGTTCTTGATGAAGTAAACGCCGCAGGGACGTGATCGTAAGGAATCGGAACCAGGGCAAGGAACCCCCTCGAGTTGGGGTCCGGGCAAAACACCTGTCGTCGGAAAAATCGGGGGCACGTCCTCCGAGTCTGATTCGAATCCCAAGACTTCGGAGAACATTACCAGATAATCGAGCACGACTAACAAAGGGTCGTGATATCCGTGCCCAGCCAGATGTCATGGCGTGAATCACAGCCCGTATCGGCAGCAAATCAGTGATTATCAAAACGGAAGATTTTTTATCTTTTATGGAATTTTACTTAGGGTAAAACTCCCCTACTATATAAAGGGGAATCTAACTATTCATTAGACACTTTTGTAACACGCATATCAAGGCAATATATTGTTATTTTTCTCTGTTCTTACTTTTTTCTCATCAACCTCTCTATTATTGTGAGTCTGGGACCGAAGGCAGACATTTCATTAAGTTATTACCGAGTCTAGGATCACTTCCGCTCTTGGTTTGGCAATCTATTACGTCTTTTATTTATTTAATATAACGCTATTAATTGTTTGTATTGAATTAACCCACATATCCTTAAAATCACTTACAAAATCAATTGTTATCCTTTTTTTAGGGTAAATAGTTTGGCGCCCACCGTGGGACTGAGGATAATAGTGGCAATTTGACACAAATTTCCATAACGCACTCTGCTTTACTCTTGTTCTTTGAGATCTTATTTTCAGGAAAATTTAAGAATGTCAAGCTCTCAATCTGCTCACTTGAACGTTGATGCTGAGTCTGGCTACTATGGCGAGAGCAACAATATAGTACCCAGCAACAGAGTTCACCATGCTCACCCCAACAGATCCCCGGTTGCAGACCCGATCGACGCTAACTCCCATATGGCAATCGACGCTGACTTGCCCACCGACCCAGAAAACAGCGTTCGCGAGGGAGCCAGGTCGGTAGCCAGGGATACGCACGGCGGTAAAGGTGATAAGATCAATTTGCTGGTAATTTTCAAAATGTTACAAGCTCAACAGGTGGCAATAGCCCAGTTACAGAACCAAAGCCACGCTCTCGGCAGAGTTGAGCCTGAACTATCCCGGGAGAACACCCGAAGAAATGAACGAACCTCGAATTCGGGGTGAAGTTGAAACCAGGGCCAGCCCAAAATAATAAAGACACTCGAGGAACTGACGAAGCGGGTGAAATCAGGGGGAAAAGAAGATCGAAGCCAACGACAAAAAAATCGAGACCTATAACTCCAGGGTTGATTAGATCCCAGGAGCACCCCCAATATTGAAAGTCCTAGATTCCAAGAAATTTGTCCAAAAACCTTTCCCTTCGAGTACGGCTCCGAAATCAATCCTAAAGAAGTTCCGTATTCCCGAAATTCCAAAGTACAATGGAACAACTGATCCAAATGAACATGTGACCTCCTACACGTGTGCCATCAAAGGGAACCACTTAGAAGATGACGAAATCGAATCCGTTCTGCTGAAAAATTTCGGAAAAACCTTGTCAAAAAGAGCTATGATATGGTATCACAACTTACCCCCTAGTTCTATTGATTCGTTTGCTATTCTTGCAGATGTCTTTGTAAAGGCGCACGCCAGGGCCATAGTCGAAACGCCAAAGTCGGACCTTTTATAGTAAAGCAAAGAGATAACGAGATGCTTAGGGAATTTGTGTCGAGGTTTCAAATGGAACAGATGGATCTTCCCCCGGTAGCAGATGATTGGGCCATTCGGGCATTTACCCGAGGACTTAACCCTCGAAGCTCATTGGCTTCGCAGCAGTTGAAACAAAACTTGGTAGAATACCCCACTTGGGCCAACGTCCATAGCATGTGCCAATAAAAAAACAGTCGAAGATGATCAGCTTGGGACCCCTTATGGGTCCGTGTATCCCGTCAGAACTAGTGATAGATCCAAAAGATCCGTCGATCATGAACCAAGATCGAGGAGGGATCGATATCAACCCTATAACAGATAATGAAGGAGTAATGGGTCCGGACGCAATCCTACAAGGAATGAAAAGAGGAATGATCGAGGCCAGAATAGTCGGGACCTCATGAGCAAGAACTTCAACAAGTCGCTCGGGGCCAGGGAGGCACCGAGATTATCGGAATACAACTTCAGTGTCGATGTTGCTTGTATCATATCCGCCATCAGACGCATCAAAGATACCAAATGGCCTCGACTATTGAAGTTCGATCCCCCAAAGGGACCCTAACCAAATGTGTAAGTATCATGGCACTCACGGCCACAGAACCGAAGACTACCGACAACTAAGGGAACAAGTAGTCCGGTTATTGAATAGCGGACACCTCCGAGAATTCCTGAGTGATTGAGAAAAGAATCACTTCAGGGATAAGGATTCCAACAAGCAGACTAAGCAAGAGGAGCCCAAACACGTCATTAACTTGATCATTGGTGGAGTCGACGTCTTCGGGGGCCGATGCTAAAGCGCACAAAGGTGTCCATTACAAGGGAAAAACAAACTCAAGATTATATACCGGAGGAAATCATATCTTTCAACGACGAAGACGCAAAGGCATCGTGCAGCCACATAATGATGCACTGGTAATATCTGTACTCATAAATAAATCTCGAGTTAAGTGTGTGTTAATATATCTAGGTAGCTTAGCCAATATCATTAGATCGAGGGTCGTGCAACAGCTGGGTCTACAAGACCAAATAGTACCTGCAGTCCGAGTTCTAAACAGATTCAACATGGCATGCGAAACTACTAAAGAGGAGATAACCTTGCCGGTGAACAACGTCGGGACCATCCAAGAAACAAATTTCTATGTGACTAAAGGAGATATGAGATATAACGCTCTATTCAGAAGGCCATGGATTCACAACATGAGGGCAATACCCTCGACAATACACCAAGAATTAAAATTCCCCACACTGGGAGGAATCAAGACAGTTTATGGAGAATACCCGCCCGCAAAAGAAATTTTCGCGGTCGATGAAGTGACCCCGGTGTCTGCACTCTTGGCATCGAAGAATTCGGAGTTGGAAACTAAATAGCAATCACCGACGCCAGCCCCGACCAAAGGGGAGAAGCAAGAGATAGGCGAGGATGATGATTACGGAGTTCCTAGATCGTTCATAGCCCTTGATGATTCTGATGCCACCAAGTCGACGATCGACGAGCTGGAACAAGTCGTATTGATCGAGCACCTGCCCGATCAGAAGGTATACCTAGGCACAGGGTTGACTCCCGAGCTCAGGAAAAAACTCATTCAATTGCTTATAGCTAACGTTGATTGTTTTGCTTGGTCCCATTTAGATATGACAGGGATCTCGCCAGAAGTAACCACTCATAAGCTAATCTTGGACCCAAAGTTCCACCCGGTTAAACAGAAAAGGAGGCCTCAGTCCAAAGCAAGCATGTATTCATCAAAGATGATGTATCTAAACTCCTTAAAATAGGTTCCATCCGGGAAGTTAAGTACCCGGATTGGTTAGCTAACGTAGTAGTAGTACCTAAAAAAGGAAATAAGTTAAGAATGTGTGACTTGAATAAGGCATGCCCCAAGGACTCTTTTCCTTTGCCTAACATCGATCAAATGATCGATGCAACGGTCGGGCATGAGATACTCAATTTTCTCGACGTCTATTCTGGGTACGACCAAATCCGAATGGACCCGGACGATCAAGAAAAAACTTCCTTCATCACTAAGTTCGGCACCTATTGTTATAACCTAGTGCCATTCGGACTAAAAGATGCTAGTGCCACTTATCAACGCTTAGTAAACCGTTCGAAGAAAAATAGGAAAATCAATGGAGGTTTACATTGACGACATGTTAGTTAAGTCCTCGCGAGCAGAGGACCATTTGAAACATTTGCAGGAAACATTCAATATACTGAAGAAATACAATATGAAGCTGAACCTAGAGAAACGCGTGTTCTGGGTCGGATCTAGAAAGTTCGTTGGATTCATGGTGTCCAATCGAGGGATCGAGATCAATCTGGACAAAATCAAAGCTATAGAAGATATTACCGTGGTAGATAATGTTAAGGTCGTTTAGATGCTAACCGGACGCATAGTCGCCCTCGGCCGATTCATATCGAGATCCTCCGATAAGAGTCATCGGTTCTTCTCGTTATTGAAGAAAAAGAATAAATTTTCATGGACCTCAAAATGCTAGCAGGCTTTGGAAGAACTCAAAAGGTACCTTTTGAGTCCATCCTTGCTCCATACTTCAAAAACAAACGAACAGTTGTACCTGTACTTAGCGGTATCCGAGATAGCGGTAAGCGGAGTCCTAATCCGGGAAGAAGAAGGTACGTAATTTCCTATCTATTATGTTAGTAGGACTCTAGGAGAGGTCGAAACAAGGTACCCTCACCTAGAAAAATTGGCGCTCGCTCTGCTAAGCGCCTCTAAAAGGTT